AACATCGACCAGACTACACAGCGCAACAACCCAGAAGACGGAAATCTTCATACTCCCCGCTGTGAAGACCTAAGATCATACTGACTACCTTTACTCCATTAACATAAAAAATAATTGCATGCAACTCAGAAATTATATTCCCGCCCGGTTTTGACATCGAATTTTTACGATATTTCTACGAAAATTAAGAAATGTGCGTTCTGATTCCTTACAAAAAGTTGTCTTTCCCGCCATGTTGAGACTTGCACATTTACCATAGTAAATATCGTACCAGCGAACTCATTGAAATAATCAACTGCAATTTCAGATGGTACTACGTCGTTATCGGGCTAATGTTGCCAGCATCTTTGTCATCCCATTCCTCTCATTCTGTTTTCGTAGTCGGTGCTCTCAGTAACACAGAAACAGAGAAGTAGATACACAACCAGCGCTACAGACGGATGACCTCTGAACCTTGAGGAACGTATTTGCTTGGTTTTCTGCGGAATGTGGGGATATCAAATGTCAAAATGAACTTCATCAGAACTGGGAATTGCATCGGTGGAACCCCAGCTCGTATTTCAGTTGTTCTCATACGCCATTACCAAAGAAACAAAACCATCTTTTATTTGCCTTCCTTTGTTATTATTTCCGGCGAGCAGAATGATGAAATTGGTTTGGAAATATAAGAAGGGAATACGTACAGTCACGATAGTGGACGGTGGACCTCAGCTGGCCAGCGATGACGGATGTGTTTGGGATAGTCAGGTGCGTGTTACAGTTCGTCTCCCACTAAGAAGGAACAGATCAAGTGCCTTCTGTGGGTCACGTCATCGCTGTAGTGCCTAGATAAGTTGGACGACGCTTTCGATGACACACACTTAAGAGGTAGTGAGTTGTATTAATGGATATTGTACAGGAGGTCAAATTTGGGTCTTAAAATGAATTGTAACTGTTGTAATAATTACTGCGCGTTGAATTTCATCCCATTATATCCAAGGACTGAAAATGTAATTTTGCGAATTAATTTTAGTCCTTAAAATCGAAGTAAAACGTACAGTTTAGCAAAGTTAACAGAATTTGTTAAAAGACTGGACGTCCGCAATGAGTCATAAAATTTATAAGACTAAGTCAAAATAAAATGGTTCCAGAAAAAGTTTTCGCCCCTTTAAAAACCAGGCTATGTAATGTGTATCTCTTCATGTTATTCAGAGAGTGAATTTATGTGGTTTTGTATTTTTATTTTCAGAATAATCGCACATCCTTGAAGTGATCATCGTAATATTGGTGTCTGTTCTTTGAGGTAGGAAATTTCTGATTATTTTATGTATTTTCCAGTGTTAAAAACGTGTTCTAAAAACGTAAACTATACACAATAGAGAAATTTGCATACCATAAACAAGATTTCTCGAAATATTATCGTAAATTCTGAGTTCATCAACATTTTTAAGAAGTCGTGGGTTGGGATAGGTAAAGTCTTCTCAGCATATCCCCACACCCCACAAAATAAATTAAATTCGGACGGACTGAGAAACGTGGCGATGAAAATAGGGTGAAGTACTGCTTTGTTGAAATAGGAACGTGCTGCCACAGTCTTCTTCATGCTGTGGCGTCAGCTTCGGTGCCTGCAATGGCCAGCTCGCGTTGTTCGAGGCTTTGAACTCCCAGCGGAGGGACCATGGCTATCCATCAGTCCGCATTTCACCGAACTAATACCTGTTTTCGAATTTTTCGATTACCCTTCACTTCTACATAAATTGTCTCATCTTTAAATTTGTATAATTATGGGTACAAATGCGTTATGAAATCGACCTGATCTGTAAATTAATTTGCTCGTTTTCAGATGCTTTTTAAGTGTAAGTCTGTCTGAATATATAGGATTTGAGACTTTCTGAATATATTTCATCTACTTTCAGTAGAGGGATTTCGAGAGGTCTCTTATCGTTGAAAATTAAAACACAAGTGTCGGCTTTGAGACTTCCATATTTTATTAAAATTATTTGTATTTGAGTAGGTCACGAAGAACGTTTTCTGTTAAAGAATAAGGCAGCCATGCTGCTTTAGTTAAATCTGATTAAAAACTGCGCTTACTTGCTCGACAGGGACATCTTGAGAGTTTACAGAGCGCCACAAGTTAACTAGAGAACCTAACCATGACATAGACCAGTGGTATTCAACCTGGGGTACGTGACCCCCGGGGGGTACGCGAAGACATCTTAGGGGGTACGTGAAATTTAAAAAAATATTATTTTATGATAAACACTGAATAATCAGTAATGTAATTTATTTAATTTATTTTAGATGTAGATTATATACTATGTATAACTTGAATTATACACCAACAACTTTGGGGGTACAAAGTTGAAGAGAAATTATATCTGGGGGTACGCGAACGAAAAAGGTTGAATACCACTGACATAGACTATAGACGGATGAACGGGCGTACACAAACCGTATAGTACCATAAAGGAAACTAATGTATTCAAGAGAATAAGCATTTAATATTAAATATGAATTTTATAGTGGTTTATTTAAATTATGAAAATAATTTAAACAGACATGTTATCACAATAGGCAATTCGATTCTTCTGAGGTGATATATATTTTTGTGTGTGTTTGTAGAAATACTGTTAGCGGGAGAGAAAAAATTGGGGTTGTTAAATGTAATTTAAAACTCTGACTGAAAATTACGAAGACCTTGCACTCCGTCCTTGTTCAGAAGAATCTCATTTCAATTCGTCGATGCTATCGATATTTTAAGAACGTAAGCACAAAGTCCGCTATGTAGGCGATGCCGTTCAAGAAGGTCAAGATGCCAGCTCCAAGAACTTTGTCTGACCGAACGGCGTAGATGTAGTCAGGATGCCAGCTCCAAGCACTTTGTCTGACCGAACGGCGTAGATGTTCCAGGCCTCCATCATTATGGCTCCGGACGCGAAGAACATAACGGCCCCTGGTAGCGTGATAACCAGGATCTATTATAAAGGCAGAGAACGAGCATTAGGCGAGTCAAATATTAATCTGGTTGCATGAAATCGGTTTCCTAAGAATATGAGTACGTCTTACGCAGAGTTTCACGTAACTCTTTTAACACGAAACTGAGCCGAATGGTATCCTCGTCCGCTGCTACCTCAGTCAGCATTTGCCAAAACGTTGGATCAGATGCATGGCTTCCAATGATCATGAGCGACTTCGTTGGCCACCCCGATCACCTGACCTGACGCCGTGTGATTTTCTTTCTTGTGGGGGTACGTTAAGGACCAGGTTTTTGTACCTGCCTGAACTGCGAAGACAAATCATCGCTGCCATCTCACGAATCGATCGTGACATGCTGCAGAGGGTATGGGCGAAAATGGGTTATCGGCTTGACGTCTGCCTTGTCACAAAGAGCGGACACATTGAGCATTTATGGGGTATGTAAAATAAACTTAGAGAGTATCTCTTTCTATCGGCATGTCGTATGTTATTATCCATTGAACCATTCAAGTCTAGCGATTCATCCATTGAACCATTCATGTCTAGCGATTTTTTGTAATGTGTCAGAGAATTATGAATAACCCTGTATTTTTGGCGATGCTTACAGCTACTAACCTTTTTATTCATTCAATTATTCAATTGCAATCGAATCGTACCACTTTAGTGAAACTGAGATTCGAAGATAATTAAACTAACCAATCAACGGGGCCGAGTTGCTTCTTGAGAAGCTGACAGTCACCAAGCCAGTAAAGTCATTCGATTTTTTTTTCTGGGACTCGGAGGTCCTTACACAGAGCCAGAAAAATTCAGCCCACAAACTCTACATCATTAACTCAAGATCAGTTTTAATGTCAACTTCTCACCCACGCCTGTGTCTTCCGAGTTTTCATTCAGAGTGAAAGACTTCAGTGAAATCAAAGACAAGTCTGGTTTGGTTTTACCAGACGTTTTTGATTAAAGTACGAGCCAAATTCGAAAGTGTTTGTCTGCCTTCCCGCCTTGTCGAGGGAGAGTGACATTGCCCTGTATTTCGCCAAAGTTTGTGTTTTCTGGTAACATGGCAACGCATGTGTGGCCAGAAAGGGCTTTGATTTTCAATGATTCGCAAATACCTCGGCGATTACCAACTCTTTCCACGAGTAGACGTAATGTATTTGCTTTTGGCTACACGAATGAATGAGCAGTACTTACCAGCTTGCGATCTAATGGAGTATCCAAGATAACCCCAAGGATTATAACAGTGGAGAGCATTATGTATCCGATGAGGGTCCCGTTCACCACAGCTGTTTTGGTGGGTGACGCGGCAACGTACCATTCGCTCGCCACCAAGCCTACGCAAATAATCGTCACCACCTGTAAGAGGGAAATCCAGTCACGAGTTCTTAATGGATTCTTATTAAATTTGGTGGTCTAGCGGTTAGAACGCTGGCCTTGTAATCCTGGGGTCTCGGGTTCGATTCCCGGCGGTGCCCGAATTTATAACTTGTGTTGGGCAAGGCCGTGGTCTAGACAACACGGAGTTTTCCTCCGTGGCATCCCAACAATTACTCCAGTCACACACAGAAGAAGGCAATGGCAAAACACTTCTGGATCATCTGCCAAGAACGTATATGAACAGGTCCCAGTCCGAGAAAAGGATGGAAGGATCCTGTTCATATGGACCTGTCGTCAGACAGAACACTAAGTAAATAATAAATAGCTGCTGACATCTGTGGGAAGTATTTAATTGCGATAACTGTTGGTCCACGATGAACTCGACTGTAATTTTGTCAAATTTATGGAAAATGATTCATCATATATAAAGTGGAAAAACGACGTTACATACTCATATCTCGGTAAACGTTAATTTTGCGATAAGGAGAGACTGTGAAATTTTAACAGCATGATAAGCCCGTTTAGCGTTGTGTCAGTTGCTTGGTTTCAAGCGTCAATTGGTTTTTGTTTTTTTCTGATGAAAGTATCTTGGTAAACTTTGAAAAGTGAAAATTCTTCGGTGTTGCTAACATGAACTGGCAAAGATCTAAATTAACGATATCACTGAACTACGGGCCAAATGTGAAAGGTCTTGTACAGTGAATGTGACACAAACAGTTCATCATTAAAGAACTATCGAATGGACGGGTAACAAATGTTTTCGTGCACAGATGATGTGTAGGAGGTTATGCGAACTTTTCTACATACGTATGACCGCGTATAATTACAGTATGTTACTTCTGTTTGGAACATTTCTTTCTATAATTGTACAAGAAAATAAATTCAACATTATGTTTATATTTATTCCTTTGGGACGAAATTCAGGTTTACATTTTAGATTTTAACGTCTTGGATACTCTATTCTGGGTCAATGTCTAGAATTACAGGTTTCATGAATGCTTAACTGCTTACTGTCCGATTTACCATTAATGAATATACATTATGCGTCCATGAATTGTGAAGGCCAATGCGTAACTCTGGTATCAGAAAGAAACAGGAACGTAGAAAAATGTCTGTCTTAACACCCACTTACCAGTTGTAGTATCTTCAGGAGGAAGGTCGGCATCTTGAAGAGTTATCCTATTTTAATCATTGCGGTAGAAGGTAATTTCTTCTAGTAATTATCCTAAATGAACATAAATAATATCTGTGATAGTAGGAGACTCATCTTAAATAGTTAACTGCAGTGTTCCAAATCGATTGTACGTGAAAGGCTATTTGTCATGCATAATTTTGCGAAGTGCCGCCTGTCTGTCCGTCCTTCAACTAATATTTATCATCTCCGAAACCTCTGTACGGATTTAGATAATATTTAGTACGGGGTTATCTGATTTAAAACTCATAGGGTTGCTTTATTATTAATCTGTGTCGATCCATTTTACCGCTTAATCTGTATTTGATTTCATTATGCCTTTAGCAGATCTCTAAAATAAATAAAGGCTTGTACAAAAATTGTTCACTGAGGTACTTTAAGATTATGTGATGTAATATCTCTATTGTCGATCAGCTTGGACAGTATTAAACACTGCGTCATTGCACTGTGAGTACATACACTTCGCCGATGACCTAGAAATGTGTACATGTTACCTAACGAGATATTTTCGAGGTAATCAGAATAATCTCTTACTATTACTTACACTTTACAAACGTAGTTTAAGCTGTGATGATTTTTGCGTTTATCTCGGATATATTAATCGATCTGCTCCCTAATCTCGATATTATGTTGCAGTCGACAGCCGCCGAGAACGATCGATTATTTCCATTCATTCGTTACGTGTCATCTGATTATCGCCACACAGAACTGTAATTTGTTCTTAAATTTCTCTAGTTGTCACGTCTCTGACAAACAAGTTATAGTATCATTGCTCTCAACAGTAAAGACATACATTGCGTTTGTAAGTACTTTTTACTTAACTTAAAACATAGAAATAAACTGGAAACTTGAACTCAACTTCAACTACTCCCATTTTTAAATGGAAAAACATTTGCTTCTTGAATGTGTGAACGTTTATGAAGCAGATTCGTTAAAAAGTTTCTTCATTCACGATAAACGGTATCACCCATCGTTGATCCAGTGGTTGTCTGGTGGTATTAGGAGAAGGAAAAGACGTTCTGGATTAACCCCGTTAACGCATGACGCAGAAACTCAAATCTGCACTGCGCAAGGTCAGTTTTATCTGCCTTAGAACAGTCGGAGGTTACATTTGTAGCACCAAGAAGATTTTATAAAATATCTGGTTCTTCCAAATATGTATTTCTCACAGCTCGTCGTACAATTGAACGGGAGCTAAGCTCACAGGAAACAGACATACCGTGTTGCTTCTCACTTCATCCTCCAGTTAACATCTGACATGCGTGTTCGTTCGCAGTGGAAATGGAGTTGAGGTTGAGTTGAAGTTTCCAGTTTCCTTGGTGTACATCGGGCCTTGTACCTAGTAAGAAAAACTATTTTGTTACGTAGATGTTGTTACGAAACAAACATGTACTGAAATACTTACCGGCCTTGTTCGTATCACAGGTGAACTTCACAGAATGAACACATCGCCCGATGTGGGGGGGGGGACTGTTATCTATACGTCACGTATCAATTTCACGTGTTTCATACTGATAACTGAAGAATGTGTGGGAAACGTTGATATAATGGAAATGGCCCGAATTGAAGGGGTGATAAAACCCGAAGAAGCATTATTCATGTCCGTTTGAGGTGACGCAAATATCGGCGTCATGTCAGAGTCACGACAATATCAGTCCGTGGGGTTTCCTAATAGAGGCAGAGAACGGCTGAGTCAGAGACCGCGACCGCCAGAAACAGGTCAGTCACAGACTCTTCAGCAGAGGCCGGTTTTGCAGGCACCGAGGCAGGCAGCTACCGGATAAGGTAGAGACCTAGAACGGCAGACACAATGAGAGGCACTCACCCTGTCGGTCAGTCATCCCTTGGGGTGAATTTTGAACAAATGTACAAATTTTTAAAATTTTTCGAAAAATCAAAAAATGCAAGAAATTGTCTGAAAAGCGCACAAAACCAATTTTTTTTAAATTTTAGGAAAAAAATTGGAAGTGGAATTTTTCAAAACTTTTCGGTTTTGTGCGTTTCTTGGACAATTTTACGCATTTTCTTATTTTTTTAAAATATTCAATTTTTTTCAAAATTTCTTTCAAAATTCTCACCACCTCATGCCTTGCACAACCGGTCGCTGTTGGTCTGTGTCTGATGTACTGTGTCTCTGACGAACGCGGTCTGTGCATCACACGGTCTCTGACGTGCCGTCACTGAAAAGCCCAGATGCGGGAGACACCGAGACGGACAGGGACACGGTCAGTCACACATGGAGCCCTGCAGAGGCCGGTTCTGCAGAAAACGAGGCATCAGCAATCGGAAAATATCGAGGCCGAGTCCGGCAAAGACAGGGTGAGGCATTCACCGAGGCTGGCATGCATCTCTTGGTCAGAGTTTCAAAATCTTTGAAAATTTTGAAAATTTTCGAAAAATCAAAACTGCTGCAAATTGTCTGAAAAGCGCACAAAACCAAAAATTGTTGGGTTTTTAAAACGTTTTGGTTTTGTGCGCATTTTGGACAATTTCAACCATTTTTTTATTTGTGGAAAATTTTTAAAAAAATTCAAAGTTTCTTCCAAATTTCAACCTACCTGATGCCTTGAAGAACCGATCGCTGTCAGACTGTGTCTGATGTTCTTTGAGACGCGGTCTGTGCCTCACACGGACTCTTGACGTACCATCTCCTAAAATCCGTGGTGCGGGAGGCAACACGTAAAGCAGATACCGAGACGGGCATGGACACGTTCGGTCACACATCGAGCCCTGCATAAGCCGGT